CCGGCGAACCTGGCCAACCCTCTGAGTTCCACCCCCTGAGAGTCATCCCCAGCCTGCCTCTACCCTCCCCGATCCCCTCCTCCCTCTGGAAACCTCTGGAACACCCTGGTCTCTCTCCTCCTCCTTCCTGTTTCTCTCTCCATCTTTCTCCTGCTATACCTCCCCCCAATCGTTCTATCTTCCTTCATCCTGCTCATTTTCCACGATTCTCGGCTACATTTTCAGAGACTCTTCTTCTCATTTTCGCCTCAACTTTCTTCGATCTTCCGCCATTCCTTCGGTCCAACGGTTTCTCTTCCCTTGTTTCTCTCTCCCCTCCTCCCTTTTCACCCTTTCCGCTCTTCTCCGTTTCTTACCCAGGAACAATTCGCTTTCTCTTTGTCCAACATACCCATCTACGATCCCTCTCTTCCTCGTAATATCCCTAACGTCCCTACCAACCTCATTGCGAAGACCAAACACATGCTCCCTATCTATCATCAAGATGTATTAGCGTCCAACATTTGCCGGGTGAACTCGTCGCTGTGCTGCATTATGCAGGAGGCTGTCTAGCCGCCAACACCCAACCTCTCTCCGATTCTTCTTGTTTTACATGTTTTCGCGCGCCGCGTTTGGTCCTCCACAAGCCTCGCGATTGACGGGTCGCTTCGAACATCGTGGTTTTCGAGTCTGTTTTCTTCCACGTGCCAGAATGCAGCTCCATCCGGAGAGATCAGGACACATCTCGCGAGGTTTCGAAAGTTCGGAGGGGAAAGGTTCGTTGGGGACGCGATTTACCGTTCAAGTAAGCCGTGCACAAAGGGTTGGGGAAGCACGCGTTTCAGGGATTAATTTCGTGTTCGATATTTGGGGGATCGGTGTTGGCTATTGGTTTTGTGTATCTTTTTTTTTTCGGGGAGGATTTTTGGCGGAGTTATTGCGGTCGAGGAGATTTGGAGGCTTTTCGTATTTGCCCGGATACTTGGACATCTTTCGTCATTTATGGAATTTCAGATATTATTCTCCTTCGATTTAAAATTCGCGAATCAATATATCATCTTTCAATACCATGTGAATTTAAAAAAAAAAAAACGAGAAGTCAAAACGACGACAGCAAGTGTACAGGATAAAAAAAAAAAATATAGAAAAATATTACAACGATACACGATCTCTCGTAACGAGACATCGCCGAAGCGAGTCCAAGTTAAAAATAAAAGGAGGAGGGAGGGGCGAAGCATTCGAGGCACCGGCACACGTCCACCGGAATGGTCTCGGTGAAACGTCGAGCGAATCGACGTTAACCCGTCCAGGAATCGATTAGCCGCGTTGGTCGGCGGGTGCGAATATTTCGCATGCACGACGCACGGTGAAAAGCGCGACGGAATGAGCGAGTGTGCAGCGGCGTGGCGCGCGTATTCCGGATGGAATGTTCCGCGTGTATTACGTATTCGTAAACAGGCCTCGATCGAGGTATTGGGGATCGTGTGCGCGACACCCACGGACCGGTGATTGCGTTATTGCGTAATTCCACCGCGTCTCGCGTCTCGATATATCCCCGCTCATTAGCGATCGTTCGCACTTTCTTACGCGTGATCCGCCTTTGGACGATTCTCCCTCGTGAGAAAAGGTCTGAGACCTGGCTAGCCTTCTCCTTAGATTCGTCTGGCATTTTTAACGCGAATAGACGGAGTTCTCGGTAACTTGGCGTACGGTGAAACTCTGTTTATCTGATTTTTTTTTTTTTTTCGTAATATCTAATTTCTTGCCGATCGAACGATCAATTATTCGAATTTGAACGAAAAGTATTTGAGCGAAAAGTTATTACGCAATGATTATTTATTTGTTTTCGAAATATTCCAAAAAAAGAAATTAAATAATTGCATCGCAAAATCTTATTCTTCGATCTATTAATTTTTCGAACGTTTTCAATATATCGAGGATATATATAAAAAAAAAAAAAAAGATTCTCAACTTGACCTAAGATAATAAAAACCCGCATCTGAGATAAAATCTCGAAAACGATTTTGTTCGATCGTTCGCAATCGTTCGATTCGAATTCCGCGCGCGTCCACGGGTAACGAACTTTCAAGCAGCTTAAGATCGTAAACGAGCGACGTATACGGATTCAATGCGTTCGTCAAGACAACGAGGTTAATCGCGAAAGGCTTTCACATCGCTCGTTAGCCGATCGCAAATTCGATACGAGCTACTTCGAACTGTTTTTATATCTTTATTCGATCCAATCGTCGCGCGCTACTCTTTCTTCGATTAGTAATTTCTCTGGTATCTTAAAATGAATTATATTATAAACCGAGACTGGTTACGATTATAATTGCGCGACATATTCGACAAGAAAGAAAAGAACAATACAATTCTTTTTAAACTTGCGCGACAATTTAAGCCTCGAACATCGATAGAACCCTTAATCCCTCTCCTCTCATCGTATCGCGGTCACTCGTACCCCGGTTCCAAATAAAAAAAAACCCCAATTGCTCCATCGTGGTGGCGAGAACACGAGCGGCCTTAAAGCGAGAAACAAGGCGAAAGGGAAAGAAAACGGTGAATAGAATGGAACGAGAAGGAAAACGAGAGAGTGAGAAAGAGAGAGAGAGAGTGTGGGCAGAGCAGGCTCATAGGCATGCAGAGGGTACATCGGGAGGCAGCCGACCGCTCTGTATACCGAATTCGAATCAATTGATTGGCTGTTGATTGGAAATTGAATTAGATCGGAATGTGCGTGTCTGCGTTGCGGTGGCGCGTCGTCGAAAGAGCAAAAGGGTGAGGGAAAGGGTGTGTAACAAGGGTGATCGGAGAGGG